GCTGTTTCAAAACGCCAAGGTGTAAAAACAAGATCTCAATGACAAAACTGTTTGCCTACATGATTTAAGAGACCTGCCAAGCAGGTGAGAGTGCCACAACTGCCTGCAATGCCATCACCCCACACAACGTGCAGACCCACTGCAATGTCAAACTTGAGCTACCCACACATACCAACCTTCAGAGTCCATCTAAACCGAACTGCTGTACTAATTTGTGGGGATTTATTTCCCAGGGTGCTGCAGATGAAGCTGGAAGAAAGCAGTTGAGCCATTGAGTTTGATATTTGGGCAGCAGGTAGAAACAATACCTGCAGACTCAGCTCCAGGGGAATTTAGGTACAAATTTACACAAAATACACAAAGACTTCAATGCAATTCTAGATATCACTAAGACAGAAGGCCTAGCACGCTTCTAGATGAGACAATAGGGAAGGCCACAAAACCATGCAAGGATGCTTGCAAGACAATACACAGCTAGCCTAGCAGGTACTTCACAAGTTGGACTTGATGCTCCTTACAGACCCTTTCCAACTCAGGGTATTCTATGAAATATCCACAGCTTGTAACACAGATCTGGAGAGGAAAACTTCCCCACTGCACACCGACTCACTGATGCTCCCCATCCTCCCTGGTACCAGTTCCCAGCTGGAGCACCAAGCTTGATTTTCTTTGATACTTGATTTTATCTCTAACACTGCTATGGGGATTCCTTATCCAGGACAGGAAGGGTAGGGAAGAAATACTTCACCCAGTGCAGGACCTCAGCACCAATTCCTGCCAAAATAAACATGATGGGGTACAGAGCTACCATTAGGGAAAAATTTCTCTCCCAAAAGGGCAGTGATGCACTGGTACAGGTTGCCCATGGAAGTGGTGTAGCCTGGTCTGGTGGTTGGTGACCCTGCACATAGCAGGGGGGTGGAAACTGGATGATCACTGTGGTCCTTTTCAACCCAGGCCATACTATGATTCTATGAGTTCAGAGGTGTGATGAGTGGCACAGTACTCATGCCAGCTGCTGAAGAACTGTGGAGATGCAGCACTGAGGGACACAGTCAGTGGGCATGGTGGGATGGGTTGGGTTTGATGATCTCAGAGGTCTTTTCCAACCTTAATGATTCTATGATTTTACTGTACGCCTTCACTGCTATCTCAGCTCACGTCTCAGTCTCTTTATAAACCATCCTGATCTTTGCTCAGAAATGCAGATTTGAGACACTAAAGCATCCAGCTTCAGAGAACAACCCACCTTCATGGTAGAGCTACCAATACTGGAGTTGGACTCCATCCTTCTGAGTCCCTTCCAACTCTGGATATTCTATGATTCTACATTTGCTGAAAACAGATGTCTTATCATCAAAACACAAGCTGGAAGACTCAGGCAAGGAAGAATAAAATAAGTTTTTATTGGCTTCCACAAGGAAGCAATAAAACACCCAGGATAAAGGACCCAAGTGTCAAGACTGAGAAGCATTTTAGTGCCTGTGCATCTGCGCTGGTTTGGGCTCAAATTCAATGCAACAACAGCCAGTATTAACTAAAAATCAGACAGGCAATACCTTAAGCCCTAGATTTCTTCAGGTTATCCTGTATTAAACACACTCGTGCATGCAGCCCAGCAGTTCATGACAATGGTTAATTGTCAGGGTTTTATGGGCCACGTTACGTTTTGTTGGCTCAGTACTTTATCCCACACAGAGGTCTTTTTAAAAACAGAATTACAGTAAAGCACATCCAATTATGCTTGCAGCAAGCTGTACATCCATCATACCAAGATTAACAACTAGACAGGACGATGGCAGAGCTGTTGCCATGCCTGCAATTTGATTTAACATTACCTGCCAGCACCCAGCCCCTTTGCAGGGGGCATTTTTGGACCAATGCTACACTTAGGGGGAAACCTTGCAGCTTGCCATAAGATCTCCAAGAGAATCTGATACCATCTTCAATTAAGAGAGCAAACTGCAATGACCAGAAGAGGCATGCAGAGGCTCACAGATACTTGAATCCCCTTTAAAAGTTTTCCTGCCAGAGATTAAGGAACTATGCTTTAAGCAGGGTGTGCATCAAACACTAGGGACCAAACCAACACAGGCAGCATTGGAAATCTCTCTACAAATGGTCTTCAATAGTCTGCACATCACAAAAGGGTAATATCAAGCTCCTTAGCACAAATAGGAAAAAAATCTTCAGAGTGTTCAGGCATTGGCACAGGCTGCCTAGGGAGGTGGTGTAGTCACCACCTCTGGAGATGTTCAAGAACTATGGAGATGTGACACTTAAGGACATGGTGGGGTGGATGTGAAGATCTTGGAGGTCTTTTCCAACCTTAATGATTCTACATGAAAGAGGCCTTTAGACTCGAGGGCTTCTTTTACCCAGCTTGAAGAAAGCAAGAAAACAAGATGAGGATGAAAAGATATCATTCCCACATTCACTTTTCACTGTGTTTAAAGAACATCAGAATCTTTGGTGCATGAGCTCATTTTGGAGTTGGAAATGAGCTGTGCAGGGGAGAGTCTTGCATTGCCTGGAGAAAACTTAATGCTTTCCTCACTCCCCAAAGCTGGAAACAAATGCTATAAATGCACAGCATTTGTGGTTTAGGGATTCAAAGCACAGATATAGAACAAAGGAAACAGAGAGCAACAGCAATGCAAGGGAATTTCTGAACCTCTCCCCTCCCTTACAATGTTAAGCAAGTAGCATTACGTGCAGAAATACCTTGGTCATGGCATAGTTAAACTTAATTTCTGGGAAGAGCTTAGATGGGAAACAAGGATTGTTTCCCCACTGCAATCCCTCCACCCCTAGCAGTTCAGGCTGCTTTCACAAGTCAAGTTGAGCCCCAGCAACTCTTCTTTCAACCACCCAAGAAGTCAGCCATGCCTCCATGTCCAGAGACTGATTTGGTATGTATAGAAATCAACTCTGGAAGATGCTTCATCAAAAGCACCTTGGATGAAGAGCTGGCAGCCTAGATAAATTAAACACATGGATTCTGAGGAGCCCTATGGTTGATAATCACTACAGAACATGGATTTTTGATACCTGTCCCACTTGGTCACTATCAAACAAACAAACAGGCTCACTTTACACCTTTCCTTCTTAAAGCCTGGTTTTAGGATCTCCACCCTTGTGTTCAGAAAGGAGACTCCAACACATCAGAAGTCCATTTTTTCCTTTAAGCATCCCAAACAGCTGAAGGAAAAGGATACAACTAATTCCACCACAAATATCACTGCTAGAGGCAAATACACAATTTTTTTTTTTTGTCCTCTTTTGAATGGAAGGGAAAACATTTACAAAAAGCCCAGGAGGACACACAAGGAAAGTCAAACTTCTTCACATGCAGAAGAATCCACAGCATGGACATTCCTTATCCCAAAAAACACACCCCAAGGCATTAAGTCCAGACTCATCACAAAGCAGTGGTTCACCTTAAGTCTTTCAATTAAGATGGCATTTGTAAAATTGCAGGCTTGAAAATTGCAAGATATAATCCATAAAGGAAAGTCACCACTCAGATTCAGAAAGCAGACCGATGTAGTCAGGCAGAGGTCTGCACCACACCACGTTTACTGAATCAACATTTCTAGCAAGTGCACTCTGTAGATCTATCAGGATTTGCACCTACTATGAAAGCCAGGTTTGCAACACTGTCTTCTTTATCACTTGCACATGCATTGTGGGCTTAAAATCATGTGATGGGGCAAAAGATCAGAGGGTGGAAGTCCAGGGTAGTGCTGCACTGTTTATTTGGCACCAGTGCCAACAATCACCATTCCACAGACCCTCCTCTCCTGCACAAAGCTGTCCTGCAGCAGGCACAAATGTTGAAAATGTAGGGGAATTTAGCACTTGGAGACAAAGTTCCTAGGAGCAGGTAACTCTGTGTTTGCAAATAGAGCCTGGCACATGACAGTATTTCTACACATTGGGGACATATTGAGGACCATTTAAATGCAACACTGGATGCCCACACACAATTGATGCTTTTTGTTGCCACTGATCAACTAGCCAATTTCTCAACAAATTGTCTCCTAACAACAGCCAAAAGCAACCAAGCTTCACCAACACCACGTTGTCTTGTGGCTTGCACCTTCCCTAGGAGCCAAGAGCAGGAGCAGCCTCACTCAGTACACTTATCACAACAAAACACAACTCACGGCTGCAGTCCTGGATTCACATGCTCTGCAAGGCAAGAGAAATAGAAACATCCATTATATTTGCTGATGCAAAGCTATGTTTGCAAGAGGGGGATCTCCTGCTTTACACTGCAGGCACCTGATTTCTATCAGAAGTATATAACAGGTTGTTTTCCCCCTTATTTCCACTATATGCCTCAATGCAGCAGGTGTGGGGATTGACTGCAGCCAGCACAGTTAAACCCAGGAGGCGTGTACAACATCAAAAGCCCCTCTGCACTCTTTTTTTAAACCAGCAGCTGCTGGAGAGCAGAGACTGGCCTGAACTCACCCCTAACATTCTAAATTAATGTAAAACAAAACAAATTTCACACATACAACCGGGTTTTAGAAGCGTCAGAATAACACTGAAGTTACTTAGAGACAGTATGCGCACCAAAAAGAAAATCAATTTCTCACTAGAAAGCATCTCTCCACCAGTGACCAGCCTGCTACTGCTTTTACTGCTGCAAAACCCCAGGCTTCAAACTCAGAACCATGTCCCTCCAGGCCTGCCCCAGGCTTTGGGCCATGTTTTGCTTTTAAGAAGCAAGATATTTGTTTTGCAGAGGTGGTTGCAAAGTCACCAAGCCCAGTGCTGTGCTGTGCAGCCCAAGTAGCTGCACTGGAGAAGCACTTCATATTTCGGGAGAAAGGGAAGGGAAGGATGATGCAGATGGCTTGAGACCAGCTCAGCAGCCAGTTCTTAATGGATTTTCCTAAAACAACACAAAAGAACTCACAGATGAAAACCAAAACGCTCAGAGAGGAGGGGGACGAAATGCTTTCGTCCCACTGAGCTCCATCACTCACCAGCACTGTTGGGTGGCACCTCCAGGTTGACGTTGACGAAAAATCGGATGCTGTCCCCTGAAACGATGGAGGAGTTCACGGCATCAAAGAGCTCCTCTCCCCCCGTCTCCTCCTTGGCCTCGCAGCCATCGTCCGTGTCACACTTGAGGTACCCTGCCAACGAGAGGGGCATGCAGTTACAACCTTGCCAGGAGCTGCGCTGGGCCCACAGCCACGTAGGCACACATACAAACCCATAGCTGCCGATAAGGGCTGAAAGCGCACAGCCTTCGTGGCCCCACAGCCTTGCAAGGGCCTTCTCAGTGTTCTCACAGGGCAGCTGCCACAGGGAAGAGACAACGGGTTCCCACACGGGTCCCCAGAGCAGGCAGCAGGGCCAGCATCCAACACAGCTGCCCTGCAGTCCGGCCACATGCTTGTGGCCTGCATTGGATACAGGAGGATGGGAGCTCTGGCACCAAGCTGCTGTGCCACCAACGGCCTAACGGCACCAACTGAACCTCCCTGCAGCTCTGTACCAGAGCCTGGAGGAGGAGGTTGGGGGGGAGGGGTCGGATTTTAAGACCCCAATGGTGGAACTGACACACAATGCATCTCCAGGTGCACCACTGAGCAGCTGTGTCTCCTGACAAGGATGTGGAAGAGTTAAGGCTCTGCTTGCAGCAAGCCAGGCCTTAGCAGAACACCACCAAGCAACGGGCTCCCTCAGATCCAAAATCTGGATGAAATCTTGGCCTGCAGACCCCAAACATTTGTATTTTTCAGCTGTACCACTGCCTTAACACAAGTTGTTCACCCACTCCACGCACGGCAGGGCAATCACCGTGCTGCCAATCCAGCAGTTTTAAACCAAGGAAAAACAGCGGTTTCCAAGGAGATGCAGATGGACAGACAGACTTGGAGCTTCCCACAGAGCCAAGCAGCAGGTCACAGAATTGGACAGCACAGAGGAAGAGAGACAAGTTTCTTAATTACAGCAGACAATTCCTCACCCTTTTGCAACATTTTAATTAGAGTTTAACCTAGTTGCAATTCAGCAACAAAGCTGGTTTGCTGTGATGTTTTCTTGCAGAGCAGCTGGAGGATTCTTGTGGTGTGCTCTTTGTTCTATTAGAAAAATTAGTGACATTATAGAACGTCATTTTATTATTATTTTAACACACTGCTAGGACTATTCAGCAGCTCCTACCCATCTCCTGACAAGTTTCTGATGCCTAATTTGAAGCAGGAAGAATATATTTCATTAGCTTGCTTCGGCCACTGTTACAGAATGAAGACAGTGAGCTTCAAGGCAGAAGATTCAATGGAAACTCTCAAATATTTTATTTTATATATTTGCTTTTAAAAAGCAAATATGAATGCAGCAGCACCAAGAGAAGCAGCTAAAAGCAGTGCATTCAGTCTTGCAGGGATCTCAAGCCAGTAGCTCAGCACTGCAAAAAAAAAGAAACCAACACTTTGAGCAAGGGAAGCCACAAACAGGAACTCTGCAAGGCAGGACAAGAGCTGCAGCCCTTCCTGCTGCAAGCTGCACGTCAGTGTGCTCCTCATGAGTGCTCAGCATCTCCCAGGGTAGACTTGGAGGGCACAAGGGGCTCAACAAGCTCTTATGCAGCTTCTTATTTGCTTATCTGAAGTGTAGGATGCCAGATAAACTCAACCATCCCTCACCACCTTTGCCTCAATGACTGGAGAAAAACTGACCCATCCGAACTGCTCTGAAGGCTTTAAGAAATATCCAAGCTTCTGCTGTCTTCCTTCAGCTCAGACAGCCAGCACTTTGCACCAAGTGCAGTTCTCTGCTGCTGCTGCTTAGGATTGGATCCCTGTTGCCCAAAACAGCAAGAAGAAAAAGGGGATGATGAGAGCACAGAAGAGACTTTGGCATCACAGCGACCATCAGGTATGAAATAGGGCTGGCAGATGTGCCAGGACAACGGGACAGACATGGAAGGACAGACATGGTGCCAGTAAACCCCCATGCAAACATTTCAATCCCAAGCAATATGCTAGACCTGGGGTTTGGATCTTCCATAATACATAGTAACCATAACCTCTCCTCACCAATGCAAAGCACTCATTATTGGTGGTTAACACCACCCTGATGCCACAAGAGCTCAGGCAGCCCTACGAAGGGAAAAATTAAAAGAAAGATAAAATCACCCTAGGGTAAGCCAAAAAAAATCCTTGATTCTAGCTTCTCCATCTCAACCACATCTAGGACAGCAGCCCCAGGAAAGATGTCAAAACAGGTCTCACATCTCCATCCTTTATGCTGAGTGGGTCAGACAGAAGGTACATGAAGTGGGATTTAAGCACGCAGAACATGGTTGACTTTTTTTCCCCCCTCAACCCATCCCAGTGCAATTAAGGCTCAGGTAAGAACAAAGCAGGAAAGCTTATACATTTGCTTTCCAAGCCCTGAAAGCAGAGAAGGCTGGAAATGGGAGAGAAATGGTGCAGGAGCTGAAAGAAGGGCAAGGGTGGAGTAAGATCCCAGGGTTGGGCAGAGGTCAGCAAGGACTCTGGCAAGGGAAGCATCCTCAGTTCCTCCCTCCTTAGGGGAGGAAAGAGCAAAACAAAAGGCAGCCGAGCCACACGTCCCTTGGGCAAAGGACAGACAAAAAACACTGCTTGCAAATAATCCCAAACCTGGGCTGTACAGGAACTGCACTCCCAGACAGGTGTCTGCTTCATCACTAAACCCGCTCCTGTTTTGAATCCAGCAGCTCATTAAATCTACCAGGTATTAAAATGTGAGCAGCTTATGCCTGTCGAGAGCAGGACCACCTCAAGGTGTATGCATGGCAGATGCACCTTCACTCCGAGGAAAACACAAAAGTTGTCTGTAGTCCTAGCAGCTGCTTTCTCCCATCACCCCAAGGATCACTGTGTCACTCTACATGACAGGGTCAATGCCAGGGTCAGACAGAGCACAGCAAGTGCCACTTCAGCCTCAAATAGAGGATAGAAGCACCACACTAAAGATTTTGCAGTCTGAGCCTAGAATTAGGAATCAATGTCAGCTTGGGTGTGAAGATCAACCAGCAGAGCTCCCCCAAACCTTGAAGAACAACCTACAGTCAAGAAAATTCCCCTCAGCCCTTCAGGACTCAACTGATAAGAGACAGAAACAAGAAAGCATGAAAAAAGTAGCCAAGAACAGGTACAACTCCACAGGAACAAAACCCCCTCTTAACTGCAGGTAGCCAGAATCAGCCTTGACCTTAAGTCCCTCTATGCTTCAGCCCATTACCTGCAACGTGAAAATAAGCCACTACCCCCATTTTATGCAGGTTCTGTGAAGAAAACTGCAGTTTCTCCTCACCATTCTCCTCTAAATCACTAAATCATCATCCTATTCTCAGTAAACCACGCCTGGCTCAGATCCGACTTCTTCCACCTCAATATCCATCCCAGTCTCTCTCTTTATTCCCATCAATTTTGTCAGAGCTACTCCAGTCCTACTGCTATCAACTATCTAAACGTAGACAACATGATTACACTACAGCTTTTATTATTATTATTGTTTTCTTTTGAGCTGATCTGTGGGAACCCTGGGCTCTGACTGGGAGAGCAATGAATTGGCCTGCAAGCATTGGAGGTGGCAGTATCTCTCCTGCTGATGTGTTAGTACCACCTGGTAGCTGCAGCAATAAAATCAGGAATAGTTATCAGGAAGTACAACTTCATCACCATATACATTCCCTAGAAAGGGCTACAGACTCCAAGGTCTTAAAAAATCTTCTAGGAAAAAATGCAGCTATTTTCCTAATGACATCTCGAGGCTGGAAGTGGTTCTGAGCAGCCTGGTCTGATGGCTGGTGACCCTGCCCACAGCAGGGGAATTGAAACTAGATGATCTTTGAGGTCCTTTTCAACCCGGACCATTCTTTAATTCACTCTATGACATCATCCCATATCCCAAAACTAAGAGACTCAAACAAGACACAACCATATCATAGCCCTCAGGTGCATCTCAGAAGACAGCACACAGCCAATCATGGCATTAACCAACATCTGCCAGCGTGAGGTTAGGTTTGCAAATTCATCTACCCACTATGCTTCACTTTAGATATATTGCTTTCCTGTGCTATGCATCCACATAGCTGGAACAGCAGAGCAAAATAGGAAGATGAGAATCAAAGCTCATCAGTAGTTACCGACTTCTGGCAAAATCCCTGCAAAAAATTTGCAGCCTTTGTTTTTGAAGTGCCACATATTGTTAACACATTGACATAATGTTAAGTACGAATACTTAAAGCAGTCTCTTGGAAACAGCAATCTCACCCTCAAGGTAAGATTTACCCTTAACTACCCTCCCAAAGGTAGTCTAAGCTAAAAGTCTGGAAAAAAAACAAAGCCATGTTCCCACTTACAGCACCTGCTTTGCACAGCAATGCCAATTCCTTCATCCAAATCCACGCCCCAGCTCCCTGCTCTTATTCCAAAATGGTAGTGGTTCCCCCTCCTTTAATCTCTCAATGCCAGGAAGCTAAGTGACATGAGAAGAGATCTTTTGAGCTCAGAGTTGGCAATTGAACAAGATCAGCTCATCACGTTTATGGAAACAGATGATTTTTTCAGATGATATTTAATGAAACTTCTAGGCACAGATGGTAGCTAGTTGCAGGACAGTCATTTTTCCAATGCAGCACTGGTCACCTCACCAGAATATCAATAACAACGTGCACTGCTCTCCTGTCAGATTCAGCCAGACATTTTACCCTGGGAAATGCAAAGGCTTTTCTTCCAGCTTCACTGCTTTGGATGTTTTTTGTCACTAATCCTAATCCATTCCAAACTGAAATCAAATAGTTTGCCTCCCTCTTTGCATTTCAAGCCATGCACTTCATATAAGCCGAACGCACATCTCTGCCACAGTTAAGATTCAGAAAATCATTAAGGTTGGAAAAGACCACTAAAATCACCAAAGTCCAACCACCAACCCATCACCACCACACCCACTAAACCGTGTCCTTCAAATCAAGCATAGGATTTTACAGCTTCTTGTTCTGAAAGAGCCTAGAAGCATAACCACTTTCTCAAAAGGGAACTCAGATTAATTGTGAGATTAACTATGGCAAGATTGACAGGAATACTAATAATACATGTCCTACAGCTTTTAAAAATAAGGGGACACAGAATCATAGAAAGATTGGGGTTGGAAGGGACCTTTAAGATCATCTAGTTCCAACCCCCCTGCCATAGGCAAGGACACCTCCCACTGGACCAGGCTGCTCCAACAGACATCCACTGGGATGTAGGCATTACCCATATCTACCTACCAACTAGTTCTGATGCAGGCATTTAAAACAAGCCACTTTATCTGATTTTTTCCAGTCCTGGGGATTTTCAGCTTGCTTTAACCAACAATAGGCATTAACTTTCAAGAAGAGCACGAGGCTTTAATAAGCCTAAAACAATCCCCTCCCCCCCGAGCTGCAAGTTATCAGAGGGTTTGCTTTGTTTCCTGAACACCGCAGGCTTGTAGATTCATCACATCTCAGAAAACACCCAAATTCCCCTCTGTTAAGTGCAAAAGTAAACACAATAATGGAGCCTCCACCTCCATACTGACCTTTACACACTGCACAAAAACGAGGCTCACGTTGCCTCCAAAGGGCAAATAACCTCACACTTGGTTAACATTGGCAGGGATAAAGTAATCAAGGGATGCAGGAGATGGTTAGAAGCATTACCAGTTCTCCAGAAACAAGAAATGAAATAGCATCCCTGCACCCTGACAAAAATGCTAACCAGGGTGAGCTTCTGGTCATACATCATGCTGATTTAGAATCATAGAATCCTTGGAGTTGGAAGGGACCTTTAAAGGTCACTTATTTCAATTCCCCTGTAACAAACAGGGATACGCACAGCTAAATCAGTGTAATTACTAAATGCAAAGTCATTTGAGACAGAAGAGCAACTGTATGGATAGAAGAGCAGGTTTTCAGGTAAACGTTTGCCTAGATTTTACATCTTCCTGCTGAGGTCAATCTTCAAAGCCATTTTTGGTTTGGTGGTTGGTTTCGTGTGCGTTTTGGTAACTCACAAGTCTGAAAAGCAATCATGGAAAAAAAAAACTTCTTCCTAACGAATTGTTTTATGTTAAACAAGAAAAAAATTAGTTCTGTAGCCACAGAACACCGCTCTCCGAAGGCTGCTATCAAGTCACATTATGCAAGGTTCTCTCCAAAATTAAAATTTTAAGCCACACTGATTAAACAAAGCAGTTCTGCATACAGCTGGGATGCCTGCTAGAACATGAAGCTTTTCCTTTGGTTCACAGTTGAGAGATCCCCTGGCAAAGCTCGCTATTTTCAGCCTAGGGAGGTTTACCCACCCTGTGGCAAGCAGCCACGTGGAAAAGTTCTGCCAACTTTCTCAGGAGCTGTCCATAGGCCATGATTTTGGATTGTTTAAGGCTTGCTGACAACAAATTGGCAAGAAGGGTCCAGATCTGATTCCTGTGCTTGTGTAAAGAGATCTCCTTTATTACACCGAATGCTTTTTGCCTGCACAGGCATACGGAATCATTAAGGTTGGAAAAGACCTTTCAGATCCTCAAGTCCACCCCCAACCCATCCCCACCATGGCCCTCAGTACCACATCTCCATGTTTCTTGAGATGCTACATTCGGGATACTCTAGCTTCCCAGTGCCTCCAGCATGGATTTGGGAGGAGAAAGACATTTTCTCTATATACAGTGCTTGGAGAAGAGCTATAGAGTAGCTGTGCTCAAGGAGGTTTTTCTGTGTTTTTGGGTTGGTGGGGTTTTTTTATTTGTTTTTTTGGAGAGGACATGATTCTTGATCCTGACCCAACTGGATAAATGTGAAATTAACTCAGTGCACTACAATAGTAGAGATGCCCCACTAGGAAATACATTCAAAACATTTCAAAGCATTTGAATGAACAGACTAGGTCATCTTTGTCAGCTTACATATAGCTTTTCAGAAATACTGGATGGCCCGTGCTGACTTCTCTGGATCATTTACATGGGATTTAGAGAGGGCCTTCCAACTCCATTCCCTCTACAAGTAGAGATTGAGAGACAGAAGATCTGGGGAAGTGTTGATGATGTTTCTTGGCTCCAGAGCAACTATTATGACCCCAACAAGTACAGGTTTGTGGTCTTTTGTAGTAACGACCCCATGCTATGTAAATGTCAACCCATTACCTAAGATTCCAGCCTGCTTCAAGACCACAGACTGAACCAAAATTTCCTCAAGTAAAATTAACAAAGTAGGTGTCCATAGGTGTCTAGCAGGTGAGTCATTAGACAAAACCCCACATCCTCCACACCATGAATACCTCCACTACCAGCCAGCCATAATTTCTCACTTCCCCACTTCCAACCCTATTTCAAGTCTGTCTTTTGTCATGAAGAGCCAGATGGAAGTATAAACTTTCCCCTGCCTCTTCAGTAATAATTCATAACAGAACTGAAAGAACAGATCTGCTACAGAAAACACCCAGGCACTTTTGAATTAATTCCAGTATTGTATTTTGCAGCCAGATTTCTAGGAAATGTTGTGAATAATCCAAGTAATTCAGTGGGGCTTTATTTTGTTTAGTGATTTTTTTTAAGCACAGCAGCATGTGGAATTTCAGTTCTGTATCAGAACTGACAGAAATCAGGAATGTTTGTTTAATTCTATGCCTCCTGATAGAGAGTTCTTAAAAAAGAAAACATCTGCAAGAGATCCTCTCAGCCTCTCCATCCATAGGTAGCAGTAGCATATCTTCTGCCCTTAAACTGAACTTCTCATCAGGGGAACCCATTGCAAAAGGATTTGTTTCACGAAGGCATTTAGATTAATCTCCTAGTCGGGCAAACAATTCCAAAACAAAAGACAAATCTTAAAAATACACAAATGCACTACACATACTGAACTAACTGCAAGCTGAAAAACAAAAACAAGTAGATAAAATATATCCAAAACATCCCAAGCCAGACTGGGGCCCTTCAGCACAACTGCAATTTATTCTGCCAGCAAAACCAATTAATAAGTCAGAGGAGACCAAGCAGTGAGGGATTTGCTCTAGAAGACAAAATTTATGCTGCAGTGACTGTTGAGCCAGCTTTAAAACAATGCAGCAATTCAGACATCCCCAAGAACTACACTGGGACTCCTTCCCTGGGATTCTGCACCAGAAAAACTTTGGTTTCATATCTTATCAGAGAAAGTTTGTGTGTCAATTAAAAAGCTCATCACACATGGGCAGAATTTAATTGCTTGAAGCTAATACTGATGCCTTCAGAGCTAATCCACTCGTAGTGAACACTGGATGCTCACCCTCCCCATTCCCTCATTACCTGGGCACAGGAGGTTGATGGCCAAGAAATAAGACAGCGCAGGGTTTGACAAGCTATTCTCAAAACTGAGAGATGCTGAGCTGCATTTCATCAAGATCCCAATTATCTTTAAGTTTGGATTTGGTCTACAGTCATCTCATTAGTTACTTAAATTTGCCAAGAAAACTCATTTGAGAAAACAACCTGAAGAGTCAAGTGACTTAAATGCACAACCTGCATCAACACATTACCACAGCATGCCAGATTTCTTGTTCTTTTTGTGTGAGAAAGGCTCGATTCAGACGAGAGCATGAGTAGAAAACAGATTTTCAGCAAGACGCTGTTGTCAGAAGACAGCTACTAAATGTGATGAAACGTGAATCAAAAGCAAAAAGTGGCCAACAACCACCACCATACCTGCTGTCACACCATGCTCTCCATCATCAAAAGCTTCTAACTGGGCAGATACAAAATTATTTCCTCATTTTTCCTCTTAACATTGCCATTGCAGAGCAGCTTTCCATTTGGTACCTCTAGCAGTAGCTGAGAACTGGAGGATGCCATAAACCTGCAATTTGTGCCCAAATGCTTGGGCTCCCTTTGATCATCATTCCAGACTTTTTTTTTAAAACAACAAAGAAGTTAAGCATATTAACACATCCCAGGAGACCATAAAGCCCCCCCCTGAGCTTTCAGAATAGCCATATATCAGCATCCATTCTATGGAAATTCCTTCCTGGGCTTTCCTCAGCTCCTCACTATCTAATAAAGAGAGCTACAAATTACTAAATACCACACTAAGTTCCTATCCAGGTATGTGTTACAAAACACTGTGTTGGTGCCACAGCAGCCATTACACTTGCTACAACGCCTTAAAAGCTAAAATTTCAATTTTAGCTTATGCCTTAACATTGCTGCAGTTGTTGTTTAGAACACAAGAATAAGAAACATTCGCTGGCAAGGTAATCTTTGAATAGTGCTTAAGATTCACCCTGGAACAAAAACATCCTTACTATAAAATATACAAAAAAACCACATGTATACACAAGATCTCATGAGGAGATAAAGAGAAAGATCAGAGGTACAAAGAGAAAGTATTAAGAGATGTTTTTCAATCATTGAGGGGGGGGGGGGTTGGAAAGAGTGCTAAGTAAACCAAAGGAAGAGTTGATTTTGTTTTTGCTTTTTAGTTGTATGGTTTTTTGCGGTTTGGGGTTTTTGCTTTAAAAAAAAAAAAGCTTAAGTTTTTTTGTTCTTTGAAACTTCCAGGGTGGGGCCTGAATGCCAAAAGAGACTGATCTAAACAAGTGGTGCCAAGAAGCAGCTTAATGATGAGTTTCCAAACAAGCTGCTTCGCACCAGGTTTCAGGTTGGATATTAGGAAACGTTTCTTCTCCAAAAGAGTGCTCAGGCACTGGCACAGCTGCCCAGGGAGTGATGGGGTCACCATCCCTGGAGGTGTTCCAGAATTGTGGATATGTGGCACTGAGAGATGTGGTTATGGGCACAGTGGGATGGGTTGGTGTTGGAGATCTGGGAGGTCTCCACCAGCCTTAGTAATTCTATGAACATAGCCATCTTTTTGCAACCTATGAGATGTGTTCTCTATGTATCCTGTGCAAAAATACAAGCCCCCAGTTTAACTAGGGAGCGGAGGGTGACTGATCACCAAGCACTAAATTCTTCCTGAAGGTCAAGCACTGTTTTCTGCCCTTCTGTTACTTCATCCAGCTAGAACAAAGGACCTCTTGGTAGAGCTGACAGTACTCGCTCCCAGTTTCATCCTCTTGCTCCTAGAGATTGGCTCCATATAGTCCTGTCAGAGAAGGTGAATGAGCCCAGAGAAAGTGCTGACAACAGTA